TACCTATGGTGAGTAAAATGGCGACTCGTCTCTGATTTCAGCAAAGAGAAGAAAAAAAAACAGTGGGGACGCACGTTCAAACCTAACCTAACCTAACCTATTCTAATAATTTGGTTGGTAATAATTATGGTAATTTATTAGAATAGGTTAGATTAGGTTAGAACGTGCGTCCCCACTGTTTCCTTTCTTCCCTTTGCTGGAATCAGAGACGAGCCGCCATTTTACTCACCATAGGTAACATTAACTGCACAATTATATTACGCGATCACCAGAAAAAGTATGATAACTTTATTATTTTTCGTCTCCAGTCCAAAAGTAGGGTATCGTTGGAATAGTCTCGGTCCCCTCAGTTCAGATAGATACTCAAAGTCCCGAAATTCCATAGGTGGTTATCTATACAGTAATACCCCGAACTTACACAATAGGTGGGACCGAGCGGTAACCGCATAAGTCGGGGTATAATTTCGCATATAAATACATACAAATAATTTTTAATTGGGGCCGGAGACTAAAAAAACAATAATTTAGAAAAAAATGTTTAATAAAATCTTAGATAGTACACATATGTATAACAAATTAGGCCTATATTATTTTACAATTTTTCACATTTACAGGTATACCTCGCCTTACGTCGGTAATTGGTTCCAGGAAAACGACGTAAGGCGAATTTACTTGTCTCCGAATCTACTTATCACTAGGCTAAACCGTAAATTACCATTCCCGGTTCTGTATTTTATTTATTAATGCATTTTTAATAATATATGGTTAATAAAAATCTATTTTAAGCTTACAAACAAATAAATTTTAGTTTTTAATATAGTACAAAAAAAGTAATCTAAATTTACGAATGCATGTACTGTAAATACAGTATATACTTCTATATTTTTTAATATGATTTTATGTGCTTTAAACGCTTTTCTAGTGATATTACGACTTCAATATTTGTGGCGGACAGACGTAAAGGCGATTAAAATGACTTAAAGTTGATTTTTATTTTTCCATGTACTTTTTTGAGAAACGACGTATAATCGGGAACGACGTAACTCGAGGTATGCCTGTACTTGATTATCACGCCATAATTTTAACATTGTTTCCATCTCAGCGATAATTCCGTGACGTTTACGAATGATGCTTGAAATTAAAAATTGAGCACTTTTCACAGCTTCGAGAATTTTTTCTTTGCCTTTTATAATTGTTCTGACCATCAATTCCGGTAAATCAAACTTCTTTGCCAATTCACAAATTTTCATTTTCGGTTCGAAGTCTTTAATTTAATAATGAGTACGCTCATCAAGTCAAACGAGTTAAATGCGTTAGTAACGAATCGTTCAAAAAGTCTAACGAAATAGGAATAACGATGACGTCATTCTCGTTTAACTCGTTCGACTTTACGAACGTACCCAATGTTAACTTTACATTCCAAAGATAAAGTTTTTCTTTTCTTGTTTGATGCAGAACACTTAGTTCTACTTTGTTTGGATGACATAGTAGAGTCTCTCAAGTCTCCGTAGATATAACAAACACAAAAATAAATAACACAAAATAAATTGTAGCTATGTGTCGATTCCGCGCGACATCCGAACATGTAAGCTGAACAATAGTGTGGGGGAGTGAGTAATCAAGGGTTGCGTGGCACTCAAACAAAAGACGAATCGACGAGATTTGAAAATCGCGTAATTCCGGGTTCGCTTAAGTCGGGGTAGCGTAAGTCGGAGTATTACTGTATAATAATTTTTCGAATTGTATTAATATTTTAAATTGTTTGATTTTTTTGTATGTTTTTTAATTGGTTGATGATTGATTCAATCAACTAATTTGTCGATTGTTTGATTGTATTTACTTGATTCCTTAGATATCGAAAATTAAATAAAGAACATTATGTTAATTTAAGCGTACAGAAACGTTGCTGTTGTTTCAGCAAAGATCTTATTTTCACTTTACCGAGTGCCTAGTAGGTAATTTGCAGATTACCTAGATAATCTGCACTTTACCTAGGTAATTTGAGAAATAGAACAATTTTAGCAACTTTAACGGATCTCCCTAGTTTATCTGCAGATTAGCTAGGTAATGTACACATTAACGACTTTCGAGCTTTAGCGGTAACATACACACTAGGCGTTTTTAAACGCGCGTTTTAATAAACGCGCGTTAGCAGCGTACACACCGCGCGTTAGCTCGGCGTTAGACGACCGTTTAGTGGAGCATACGCACTGGCTCAGTTTCGGGACATTCCAATTTTCAACGCGAGTGTTGAGTGTTGAAGTCAACAATTTGTACGAAGTGCTTAGTTCCCATAATTCTATTCTCAGCAAGATGGATTCCATTCAAATGTCTTACCAATTACCCACAATTCATTGGAAAGTAGCAGTCAACATATCTGTTGAGTGCTGAGTATGTTGAGTCAGCGCTGACAACAGCGCTACCTCAATGTTGAAAAAAGGAACGAATTTTAACGAATGTTGAGTTCAGCACTGAGTCAGCGTTGAAAATTGGAATGTCCCGTTTGGAAATGGACGTGAAAGTAATTGCTTGTGTGCGCCTCCTCCATCGTCGCTATAAAAGACGATAGCAGAGGCAAAGAGAATTTTGGGTGCACCCAATATTACAAAATAGACTGACACATGGAATGTTTGCGACGTTGTATCCAAAACTAAGACAAAATAAACCCAAGTTTTTTAATTCTTGTAAAATATCTATAAAATCCTTTGACGATAGTTGGTCTCTTTTAGATTTCATCAATAAATATATCAGTATCGAAATGATCGTTCTCCATTTCGGCCAACGTACGTCCACTCTACCCGAAAGCGCGCGATCGAATGTACAACAACATGGCAGCACATATATCTCAAAGCGCTCGGCTGACGCCCGCAAAACGCGCGTTTTAACAAAAATCTATCAACGCACGCTTGGCCAAAAGCGCACGTTTGAGTATGTATGCCTATGCAGAACTCTTGGTTCTTTAAAACGCGCGTTTTTAAACGCCTAGTGTGTACACAGCCTTATTAAGTAGAACTAATATTTAAAAAGATATATCATTATTATTATAAACAAGAGTATCAAAAAACGATTTATATAATTGATGAATAAATAATTAATAACTGATAATATATCATTGATGAATAATTACAGAATATATATATTCTGTAATTATTCATATATTATATTATATTATATATTCATATATTATATATATTATGTAATTATTCATAATATATATTCTGTAATTATTCATCAATTATAATATTTTTGTAATTTTTTACTGTTGTGTATTGATTTTTCTAATAATGAGTTTGTATTCCCTGCATAATGGGTGAAACCAGTATGCATGAATATATAAATAAACAAATCTGTTTTCAAAAAACTGATGTTGCGCTACAAATATTCGCGTGCTACTGTGGGGCAGTAATGCGCATGCCAACTTCAACCCAAACTATAACATTGTTATTGAATTGAAGAATTGATTGTTTCAAAAAGAATTAACTGGCCATTGTAAAGATATGCACGCGTCTTTCTATGCACTTGCATTCAAAGACCTAAGAAGATGGGCTGAGTATGCAGAAGCAGCCACAAAGTTCACCCACTGGATTGTTGTATTGTACTCAAGACTTTTTCTGCAGAAGCATGAACAACTGGCTAGTAAGTAATCCAGGAAGAGTCATCCCAATTCAAGATAGCATAATTATTTAGCACCGACTTCTGTAGGTGTGCGTCAGTGAACAAAGCTGTCGAAATTTTTAACATGTGTGAGATTGTGCCTATGGACTATGGAGTGCTTATATATGAGGATTTATCGCAACTTGTAGTAACAGGTACGGACGTTGAAAAACAAAAAAAAACAGAAATATGTACTTTTGCAGATTCACAGATGAATAAAACTACTTCATCGCCTGGAGAAATAGATGCATCTAATTCTGGACCCAACGGCTTCACCTTTCCTGCGGAAATGAAACCACTTCAATAAAAGAATCTTGCATAACAAAGAAGGAATAAAGAGGAAAAATCTAAAATAAGAACAAGCACGCTTTACTTTAGAGTCAAAAGAAGATATGAAAAAACACTGTATCAAAGAAATGCAAACAATAACACCGAGAAAAGTTATTTATAAATCACTTTACGGGGATATTGACATTTTTTATTTCAAGAAGGAGAGTTTAGACCAAAGAGAGAGTTCTCTGCCAAGGATATGAGGAAGAGAAGGAAGAGCCTCCATATGAGGTTTGTAGAATGTGCAAAAATTAAATTAAGAGAAGACCGTAAGACTGACGACAGTGGGAATTTATAGGTCTATAATTTTTTACAAATTGAAGCTCAATGATTTATGATGGATATTTGTAGCTGATATTTAACAGATAAACATAGTTTTCTATCAGATGTCATGTAATATAATGATCAACAAGGTATTATTATATCAATAAATAAATGTATAATGAGATATACGTAAAAAAATGATAAAAATGTGCTAACACAGTTCCTTTTTTCTGAATTATGTTTGTAGTATGTATTAGTAATACAATTAATCATTTCCTAATCTGTTTTTTTTTTTTTTTTTTTTTTTTTTTTTTTGTTTGGCTCCGTATTTACGATTTAAACAGTCACAGTTGCCTTACCAAAACTATTCACTTTGAGTGTTGGTTCAATTTGATGAAAAATGGTTATTTTTCTTTTAATTTTGTTTATCAATACACACTTTGTGTAGCTTTTCGTGAAATATTTTCTGTAAACTTTTTTCTTGCCATATATGCACATTAGTAATCTTTTGATGAATAACTTTATTAAATGACATATATTCAAAATATTAATAAAAACCTAGGGAATCTTAATGAAGATAGTTTGAGAATTATTATGAGTAAATGTTAAGATTGTCATTCTGCTGACACAGAATTTATATTGTATAAAAAAAAAAACTAAGTGCGTAATAGTGGGCAAGAATGTATGTACTCTTGCCCCACTATTCTCTAATCGAAGGCACTTATACTTTTTATCTTATTTTTGCATTACAGGAAATTATGGAAAATGGATCAGATTTGGCACATTTCGATTGCCTTCACAAATATGGTATTTCGTCCGAAATCATTCTGCATCCGAAAAATTGGTGGAAATTTTTTCAGAATACGTGGAAGATTTCCTGCTCTCCAGTATGCGCATCAAATTTCCACTGTTACAAATATTCAGGAAGTGCGTCCGTTCAATTGTTTGGAATATGTGTTCTATGGACAACCTTTAAAATCGAAGAGGTAATTAAATATTAAACTACTGTAAATACATGAATGGCTTTTAAAAAGTGACCATGTTTTTATTTTCAAGCAAGTTTTTTTCAAACTGTTCACTTAGCAGTATGTGTACCAAATTTAACTTATATATCGGGAACAGTTTGTTGTACAGTGAGCCGTGAACAACTGATGTTTAATTATAATCATACTCTTTTCGAAAGTAATCAAATATAAAACGATGTTATTTAAAATTTTTTGCTTACCAAAATGTTGGTTCTATTCAGAAAACTTAATATTATTATATTAAGTTTTCTGAAAATAAGTTATATAATATTATATAATTTATTTTAAAATAAAATAATACCTTAATATACACTGTACACAACTTTCTTAGCAGATAGACTAAATCACATCAAAACACTATATCATCTAATGTTTGCTTAGCAAAAACCTTTTTATTACACGAAAGTTTTCAATCTCTTTGCATTACAGGTCATCCTCAGATTTTACAATACAAAAGAAACGTTGCAAAAAAGAACGTGTCTTTTGTCGATTTTATAATTTTTAAATTTAAAAAACGGTTGAAAAGAAATGAGAAGAACTGCGTATATTAAAATACATATAAGAATAATATAAATACCGTGTTTTTCTTTGTTTCTTTTAAACAAAAGGTAAACACAAAAAAATACTCTTTTCAAGGGTTTTCAAGTTTCATTCGTTTCTCTGTTATGTATTTCCACGCGGTAAAAAACACACAAACCTCCCCTGAGTTAGGCATCGTTGTTTTATTTTGCTTTTGTAAATTTTCACTTTTTCTACATTCAACGCAATGGATGGAGAGTGTGAGAATCAAAACGTAAATTATATAATTAAGTTATTTAAAATTAAAGAATTAAATACATCGAACTAAATTTGTGTAGTTTTCCGATCGAAAATCTCTCCTCAATCGGAGACCCTACGTCATTTCCTTCATCTTTCGATGGAATAAATAATTTTTACTACATGAGAAAGTAATATTTTTTCTTTTAAAATCGTTAATAAATTACTGTGAGAAGTAAATTTCTTCCACATGTTGTTTACGCTAAAGGAAACGCATTGTCACTTTTATGACAAAAAGGGAAATTAATTTCCCTTCTTACAACCTTTATCTCTCAAGTTTAACATCCATCTGGCTGTCCGCTCCCTCTACACATCCTCGGCCATCCCGTTTACGTACGCAAAATCCTTCAATTTACTGGTTAAAACCTATAACAAAAAAGGACAATTTTTCTTTCGATCCGAAAGTTGGCCTAGGATTTCTCTGGATTCCAAACCCAATCCTCTCGCTTTGCCAAACCTTACAAAATTGTGCACCGTAGTTTCCGCCAAGAAGATCTCCTCCGTCCTCTCCACGCCGTCACTGCAGCAACCCTCGCTGTATCAACTCATCACCACAGACAAGAGTCAATTCTAGCTACCCAAGTCGAGGTAGTATATCCTTAAACTTGTAAACTCTCTCTCTCTCTCCCTCGGGTACAACAGGAATTTGTAACTTCTTGTTGACTGTAATTTTACTTATATTTTGTCTTTATTAAATTTTCTTTTTGTTACTCTATCATGGTCTTGTCAATAAGCTGAATTCTATGCCGAAGTCTTGTCATTGATCCACGATCCCTCCCTCTCGGAAAATATTACTAATTTACCCTATTAGCGTGCCTAAAGCTCAATTAGGCTGGTGTTAGGAAAAACAATTTAAAATACTAAAAATCGATCCTACGACCCTGCGGTTGGATCTCTTCGATCTGAGATCGGATCAAAGTGAAAAACGAAGCTTTCTTCACCCCTACTTCCCACAGAGAACACGCCGTTTTAATGATATTCACTTCTTTCCATTTTACAATCGCTTCTTTAATTTGCGTTGGATATAGAAAAAGTGGAAATTTACAAAAGCAAAATAAAACAATAATGTCTAAACGGGCCCACCAGTGGCCAAGTGGTCTTCGTACCCTGAACACTGGGAGTTCGGTCGTGGATTTGCGCCTCGATCAGACTGGCTGGCCACGTATAGTTTTCCGGGTTTTCTCTATATCTGTAATGCCTAAATAGGGGCCAGTTTCCCTTAAAAAGACCTCCCGGAAGGCAGATCGCCCAAGTGTTGCGTTCCGATAACTTAACAAACAACAACAACTAAACAGGGATCTTGCTAGAGATGCTTGTGCACTTTTAACAACATGGATATAATAGAAAAAAGAATGGAACTTAATAACCCTTTATCAAGTATTCTTTGGGGTTATCTTTGTTTACTATGTTTTTCTTTGTTTATTTCTTTTCGTTTCCTTTAAATCGTTTTTTTTAATTTAGAAATGTTATAAATTCGACAATCGGTATGTTCCATTTTGCAGCATTTCTTTTGTATGTAAAATCGGAGGATGACCTATAATGTTAAGAGGTTGAAAACATTTGTTTAAATTAAGAAAAAGCTTTTGCTCAGCAACCATTAGGTGGTATAGTGACTTGATGTGGAATTTTCTTAAAATCGCATTTGTGTTGTATTGAAATATTTTTAACTTTTCAGATTGGCCCAGCAATAATCCATTCGTATTTGCAAAGTACTTTTGGAAGTAGTTTATTTGTACAAAGTATTATACCCGAAGGACCGTTTCGACAGAGATTTATCCGCCATTATTACTCTTCTTTTCGATTTTCAACCTTACTTGATTATATTGCCATGTTTTGGGAATCTCGTTTGGTCAAATATTTAAATTCTTCTGATTTAAATTCGAAGGTATTCATTAGATATGCGTTTTAATGTATAAAAAATATATTTATTTTAACAGATCGAGCGTGACGTTCGCATATGGAACTACAAAATGTATCGGAAGAATCCAGTTTATGTCTCAGAAGACAGAACAGTTGCGAAATTCAGAAAATGGTACGCTCAGTTTTACAGCAAAAATAGTCCGAAGGCTAAAGAAAAGAGAAGTAATTGGTAATTGGAAGTCGTTTATATTTTAGAAGCTCCGGATGGAACTGAATATTCGTAAATGACATTCACGATTAATTTTCTTATTGTCACAAAGCGCTAAAGTTAACGAACCTCTCGAAAATTATAATTAAATATTGTTTATTGTATTCTTAAAATATTTTCATTTTTGTATTATAATGATTACGTGTTTTTAATAAGATATAAAACAAGGTGATTACATACAAACCTGATTGTTTTTGTTCTTTCGATAGCAAATGAGTCTTGTACACAAGTATAAAACATCTCTGATCAGCAACGTTTCCTGTAAGCTGCGCGGCCGCGTACGAGAATTAAGCACTGATTTGAACTGTTCTTTACTGATTTCTCACTTTGCCCGCGAAATGATTATTCATACGTATATTTCGATTAAATACATTAAATCATTGACGAAAAAATATTTTGTATGGAAGTATATTTTAAAATAAATTTGAATCTTAACTTTAATTAATCTTAACTAAAATTTTAATCTTAATTATTTCATGTTGATAAACATGAATTTTCGTAAACAAATATTGCGGAAAATATACTCTCTTTAATGCTGTGCATAATTGAATTTACGCATTATAATATTGAGCTTTAGGAAACATGATCAAATCGTACAAGATAGAAGCTTTTTCCAATATGCAAATTTTCTTTATTATTCTGTAAGAAAAGATACAAATTTAATACTCAGACCATATTTTAAAAGCTTTTTCCACATTAAATTCCGGTCTACAGTATCAAAGACAAATCCACGAAGAAAGCATATACAGTCGACCCGCTATAACACTGTTGATTATTCCGTTTTATATGAATTCCATGTTGTATGAGTCACTTAGATTTTACAAATATGTGTGCCGGGCTGTAAACGACTCACGTATTTGTAAAATCTAAGTGACTCGTACAACATGGAATTCATATAAAACGGAATAATCAACAGTGTTATAGGGGGGGCTCCCCTATAACACTGTTGATAATTCCGTTTTATATGAATTCCGTGTTGTACGAGTCACTTAGATTTTACAAATACGTGTTCCGGGCTGTAAACGACTCACGTATTTGTAAAATCTAAGTGACTCGTACAACATGGAATTCATATAAAACGGAATTATCAACAGTGTTGTAGGGGGGTCGACTGTATCTTCAAAGAGACTGTAAAGAAACGTTATGTTTTTCTTTTCATAATTTTGAACACGAATTCATGTATCAAAATTGAATGTATTCGTTTATTTTGGAAAAAAAAACTCTTGTAAGTACGTTTGTAAAATTAATTTTTTTATGAAATAAACCATATTTACGCATTTTAGCATTGTGTGTATCTTTGTCATTTTCATATTTCTGTANATAGTAAACTATTTTTCTCGAAAACAAGCCTGATTGTCAAATAAAATATCATGTAAATTTAAATTAACAAGGTTACTAACCTAAAATACAGTATTCTACAAAAAAAATTGAGACAAGTTAGCAAAGAAATTCCTCTATAATTTCCAGAAACCAATTTAGAGCTACTTTATGTACTATACACAAAAGGGCACTCCTCAAACCTTTGGCACTATCCCAGTATTCAATATTCTATCAAAATTTCTAAAACATATCAGAAAGAAAGAATCCATGTTCCAACATTGCAAAAATACCATCGACACCAAGCACAGAACAAACTTTTACTTTACTTAAAATGTAACTCAACTCATATTCCGTAATATCCGCATCCAAAGTTTTATTAGACCAAGATGAACACTCATTAAATTGTAACTCTCCTTATACTGAAACTTGTCATTAAAAACTGACAAGTTTACAGTGTAAAGAAACAAAAAACCATATAGAGAATAAAAATACGTATGTAAACCACACTTTCAACAAAAGTTCAATCTATTATTATTATTTGTAAGTTTACACAGATTCCAAAACTAATTTTTCCGAAAAATTCCAGAATTCTGAGCGATATACAAAAACTTTTTCTTGTTGGCTAAACAAATTTTCTTAACTAAAGTATATAATAAAACAAATATTTTACGATGTAATTCCGATCCACTTTTCTTAAAAACCCGCCATGCTCTTATTTCTATTCGTAAACATTAGACGACAATCTAATTCAAACCAATTAATATTAATATAATATTTTGGTTTAAAATTCATATTGTAGCAATTAGCAATCTCAACAATTAACTTCGTATGATAAAGAAACAGACTCTCTCCCCAACAGATGTTTCTCAAGATCACACAAAACCGTTTACATCTTGCAATTCCAGAAAATTCTTTCGTAAAAAATGCCACTATTATTCACTTAAAATTGCAATGGATAAGCCAAAGACAATACCAAAGGAAAATGGTCTAAAAAACAACAATTATCAACGAAAGAAGACTTAACACAACCCCAAACACGGAGTTATTAAACAAAAATCAATAACCGAAAATCTCAAATTAGAAACAAATATATGTTCACTGTTCTATCGCCTAACATTCTTCCATTTAACATTATTAAATTTTTACCACAGCCCGTCATGACTACATTGGATTGGAAGGCATACAAAATCGACTTCAGGATAAACGCCGTGTAGTCGAAAATTATGCATGTGGGTAACACTACCCAAAAACACTACGCAGGGAGTAATGGTCGGAATAGAAAGATTGGAGGAGGTTGACAGATTTACGTACTTGGATAGTATTATTTCCCCGAATGGCTACGCAGAGGTGGATGTGAACTCATGCATTAAAAAGGCGGCAACAGTCTTCCAACAGATAAACATGGATTGATCCTCACCATCCATATCGTTGAGAATCAAATTCTGCTTGTTCACTTCCATCGTGATTCTGTTTATGCTAGTGAGTCCTGGAAGACATCGGGAAAGATCAGTAGAAAGCTCCATGTTTTCAAACAAAAATGTTTGTGACAAATCCTAAAGATCCGGCATTTAGATCAGATTACCAACAAAGAGGTTCTCCGAAGGAGTGAAATGTGCAAACTTCATAAAACTGTCGATCGTAGAAGAGTCCAGTTAGCTGGCCACGTCTTTCGTATGGAGAACAATAAGATCCCTAAGACAGTCATAAAATGGGTTCTCCTGGTGCCAAACAACCACGAGAACACCCCAAGAATATTTAGCGTAGAACTTTTCTTCAAGATTTAAAGATGGTCAATGTGATGTGGGAGGAAGCTGAAGACCTCGCCCAGGATGGAAATCGATGGAAGATAGTTGCTGCGCAGTATGCTACATAGCTTTGGAGGAACTGCTACTACTAGTTCTACTACATTGATGCATCTTCTGACCTCTACTATTCACGATAGCATCCTTGGATTCCTAACCTCTCTTAGCCAGAAGTATCACCGATATAGTCAGGGACATTTCCTTTACCCACCCGAGCATTAACATTACCAAAAATAATCGAATAAGAATACTGTATTCATTAAAGTAAGAATTAATTAAAATCTCAAAAATTTCCTACCAACTTCGTTTTTGCATGTAAAAAAACATCAAAAATTCACCCACGGGAAATATGATATTAATCAAAACTAAAAATTTATCTTTATAAATTACTTTAAAGTCAAAGCTACTCACAAATAACAACCATTCAGCTTTAAATCTACCCCTATTACAATCCCTAAAAGCATCGTCAATTATTAGTATAATCCGATAAAACCTCCAAATTACTTTTATTACTATTAGAGAAATACCAAGTTTTAGAGAAGAAAATTACATGGAATTTCAATAAATACTGTGAGGGTCGTAAAGAGCGTCGAAATTTTGACTGATTATAAAACTTCTAAGTCGGAGAGTTTCGGGGGTCAAAACGGGTCAACAGGGTATGTTGGCGACAAAATCCAGACAGGAAGAAAACTTTCTTACTTATTGTAAAACAAACACGACCCAATGATAAACGACAGAGGGGAATGTCGACAGAGAGAGAGAGCTTTGTCAAGATACTCGCGAACAAGTGTCGGTCTAAACAAATAAAGAGCTCTTTTTCAGACGCTAAGGAAACGGATTAGGTGTCTCGAATGAACAATGCAATTGTTTTTTTTTCGTAAATTTGTTAAACAATGGAAACGGATAAATTCGAGGAAAACGCGACGAGAGAGAGGAATCATATTCAGTCGCAACGTTGACCTCTCCCGCGCCCTTCATTAGGTTTCGAATTGTCACCAGGTGACTATGAGAGACCAATGGAGAGGCGACGACGGTTAAGAAATCTATAAAACCGTGCGACTCAAGGGACAAAGGTTCTTCTTGGTTCATCTCTCCAGGATTTTTGTGATCCTACTTATCAACCGCGACCGATTCGTCAACTCCTGTGCCTTATTGTCGCTCTCCCGTGACGTCTTAATTTGCACGGATTTGCCGTTCACCAGAGACTTTCGCCGAAGCTGTGCCGCACGCCCCGGGGCCGTCGATCTCAACGTACGACATCGAAGGATCAACGGAGAAAGTCGGACCCTTGAAGGAACTTTTAATTTGTTCCCCGAGCTGTGTTACGTTGAAAATTTGAAGAACGTTGTAAGAATCTTTTGTAATATAATAAACGGGTTAAAAACGGTAAACCTGTCTCAGAAAGTCATTCTGCGCCCACACGACAGAAAGAACCGCTCGGCTGTCGAAAAACCCTCACCCTAATCAGATGACCTCACAATCTTATCTGTTATGAGTTTTTGTTATAAAATATTTTTCATGTTTTTAATTTTTATAAAATAGCAAAAAAAAAGCTTAATTTTGAGAGTAGAGGATATGCGGCTTGAAATCTTTATTAGAAATCAGAAATAAATAATAACGTTACGCATTATTTAAACTGAGTTACTTATGTAAATCAACAATTTTATTTCCGGCGTGTAACAAAAACGAGACAAATTAAAAAGGAGGTAAATAGTAATTATTCGGCTGCAATTTGAAAAAATGTAGATTTATAACTTTCCACTTTCTCTGTCTCTCTTTTCTTAATCTCGAGAACCGAGATAGAACAAAGACTACATATGGATAGACAATGCGGCAACGATTAACTACACAAGATTTTCTGATGTAAACCGAAAGTCACATTATTTCAATTCAAACATTTTCTCCGAAAAATATTAGATGACCGGCACGACTCTATTGTTTTAGGAAAAGTATGATGTACGGGGCAAGTTACTTTTAATTTGAGGTAAATAGTATATAT